CTTGGAGAGGATTCAGCAATTAGGCTTGGCAGGGCAGAGCTTCCTTGTACCTGTCCTTGTGTCACGGCACCTGCCCAGCTCCTGCCTGAAGTCCCCCAGTCTGATGCATGTGACAGGAGACTCATCCCTCATCCCTGTGGTCTGCGTGGTGGCAGTGGTGAGAGCTGTCCGTGCCAAACTTTGCAGGGAGAGGAAAAAATGCACAGCTGGAAACCAGCTGGTGGTCAGAGATGGTGTGAGCACCTCAGGGCTGTACCAGGGCAAGGGCAAGCAGGTGGACCTTAATTGCCTTCAATTCAATTGCCTTCATTGCTGTCATTTGAATTTGACCTGAAGTCCTCCTGGTGTTGCTAGGTGGAAACCCAGGGCTGTGTAGGTTGGAAGGGGCTCCTGAAGGTGGTCTGGTCCAGCTCTCCTGCCCTTAAACAAGGTCACCCAGATCTGGCTGCCCAAGACCATGTCCAATTGGGATTTGAGTATCTTCAAGGATAGACACTCCACAACCTCTGCAGGAAACCTGTTCCCATGTTCAGCCACCCTTGCCGAAAGAAAATTTTTTCTCTTCCTTAAATTAAATTTCCCATGTAGGTACTGCTAAATATAAATCAAAGGAACAACCCAAAGGATTCTTAGCAGCATATCCTGGGGAACACAGCAGATTTAAGACTGGAGTCCCTTACTTGCAGCTATCCATACGCCACCTGGTACAGGTGCCATCCTCTCTGAGGTGTTGGCTTATCCTCAGATTGACTCTTCCCTTTGGATAAGTTTCTGTTTGCTATCTGCCAGAACTGCCCAGATGTGTGCCATGTCCTTCCAGAGCCACAGTACCCGGAGCAGCCCCTGAGGTCCTGTGACACAGCAGGGAGCTTTCCTTGCTGTTGGTGCTGCAGCCAGGCCCTGTCCCACCCTGCAGCGGCTGCAGAGGCTGCACTGGCATCCCCAGGCAGGCACCTTCCAAGTGAGACACTTCAGCTTTGTGCCTGCCTCCAAACACAACACCTTCCCAGAGAATCGAAACCTGCTTGTGGAACAGTGGCAGCAGATGCTTTGGGGAATGGCAGCAGATCCAGCCAGGGGATCCTTTGGGGAAGAAAGTGGATCATTACTGGGATGCTCCAGGGAAGAGACTGGTGTCAGTGGGAAGACAGAGGCAGAGCAGGAAAAAGTGGGGTAAGAGCAGAGGCCCTATGGCCATTCCTGCCATTGTAAGTTGCTTACTGAAACCACGAGAAGAATTAAAACACCCAATGAAACAATGTTCCTATAGCTTATATTCTGTACCAGGCCTTCACTGAGCTCATCTTGCCCCAGACTTTTTATGCCACTAGTAACAGCTCTCTGAAGAGAAGGTACTTGCAGTAAACACAAAAAACTATGATCCAGAGATTGACATCAGTTAAAGAAAAATAAAGTAATCACTGCTTTTAATTTAAGCAGTGGTGAAGCCAAATACTTGACCTGTTGGGTTTTGCCCCTTCAAAAATTCTTTGTTACTCAGTTTAGGAAATGTCATGTCAAAGACATACTAAGGCAAAAAGGCAGGTGAAATAATGTGAATGAAAGGTGATGGATGGAACAGAGACAGGGTGAGCTATTGAGGCCAAGCTGCTGCACCTGCTTAGAAATTTAATCTAGTCTTAAAGCAGCCTGGCCTGGCAGAAGATAAAAGGAAACAGAGGAATTAAGGCCATGGCCACATCCCATTTTAAGCCTTCACACCTGTAGTACACTACCCTTCCCTGGGCCTGTTACACCCCTCTGGCTCAGCCAAGGCACAAGAGTTTTGTGTTTTATAAACCCCTCTGACTTCCTAAAACTCTGTCCTGCTTCTCTTGCAGATCTGTGTTGGTGCCAAATGGTGACAGAAAATTAGCTTTGTCACTGCAATGAATGCAAGCAATACATGTAACCCACAACAGGATGCTTTTGGGGTTACTCCTGAGCCCTCAACTAGAAAAATGAGCTATTCTCTCATCTTCCCAGTCCTTCTTGCAGCAAAGTTAAAGAATCACTCACAGAATCTACTTAGCTGTAAATTTAGTTTACATTTCCCAGCTAGGATATTTCCCCACCACCACCACTATTCCTCCTTCTGTTACTTGTTTGTGGTCCAGCCAGGGTTGCTGCTGGTGCACGTTCAGCCTGGAGTGCAGACTGGGCGAACTAGGAGCCAGCAATCCTGCACTCTGTTCTCTAACCCCGCAGGTTAGAGAGGAAGCAATAAGAATTCCTTGCGTGCAAGGAGTGCCACCTAACGGCCTGTAGAAGGATCCCAAAGCTCCACACAGCCTGGGTTCTGGGCTTCCTTTTCTTCATACACACGAGTCTATGAAATCACACACACACACACACACACTTTTTTTTCACGTACAGTGAAATGCAAGTCTCTCTCGTGGCCTGTCTGCCCACAGACCACACTTCAAGGGTAATTCTTATGCAGAGTCTTTACATTCATATTTCAAAAAACAGTTTCTTGAATCCCTCCCAAGACTTCAAGACAGCTGTAGGAGTCCAGATGCCAGTAAGAACACGGCTATTTCAGTTTGGAGTGTAAAACTGACAAATGCTGGCTGTTAAGGAGCAGCTGCTGGAGACCAGCGGTTTCACTGCTGCCTTTGCCATGCTCACAGGGAGATGTAGGCCAGGTGTAACCTCACGGGGTCACCAGCTCCAACCTTTTAGTGGCCTTTTGATTTAGGGTGACAAGATTCAACAACAGGCACAGACACGGTGTTCTAGGATGACCAGACCCAGCAGTGGTGAAGAAAACTGCCGTGGTGGCAGCTTCTGAATGTTCTCCAGCCAGAATAGTCTGCATCAGCCCACCATCACCGTGGGTTGCTACAAGTACTTGGAGGAGATGTCCATCTGGCCTTTTCCTCAGAAATGTGCTGTTGACTCCTACTGGCTGTTACCCTTCAGTAAAGACTATCTTGCTTTAGTTGAGGAGATGCTGAGTGTATGGAAAATGCAGGAGAACGGAGGGGCTCCAGAAGAACACACGAGGAAGGAATCCCTCACAAGACATTTAATCTACTGCACGTCCTCCTGCTGCACCGAGGGAAGTTTGAAGTTTGAGTAGCTACTTTGCACCTCAGGAATTATGATTCACTTCTTATCCAGTTCTGACTAAGCCCTCTCTAGCCTTTGATTTTGTAGTAGGTTATTACCTGGTGACCTTCATTACGCTGGCCCAGGGGCAGGTAGCACAGCCTGTTCCAAATAAGCAATATATCTCAAGTTGTTCTCAAGGGGGCTCAGGTAAGAGGTTTCTGATTCCACACTCTGAGCATCAGGGCCTGCTTCCACCTAGATGTAAATAGCCTCCTCATCACCTTAGGCACAGGCATTAGGGTTGAACTGGCTGTGAGAATACACTTCTCCCATGTGACGCGGATATGCCGGGTGAAAACAGAGGTTGGGTTAAAACAGAGAGCAACACACATTGCTGCTTTTAAAGTATGTTTTAAAATAGATTATTTTATCTTCTTGCAAGATACTAATCCATTTTAGTAGCCCTGAGTTCTTCCCAGTGATTCATCAGAACTCAAATATTATGAAAACTTCCTAGATAACATTTCCATAAAGTAAAATATACTTCCTAATATTTGACCTTCAAGATTTCTTGCCTGATAACCAGTTTCAAGGCATCTGAAGAGCACTCTCTTATGATAATAATGAAAGGGCCAAGTAAACCCCACTTAAGTAGTTTTAACCTCTGGAACTCCTCTCTGAATTATCTGGAGCAACTCTCGTAAGTCACCACAAAATGAGACAGCTTTTCAGCCTGCAGAACCTTCTGTTGACAAAATGCACACGCACGCTTGACCCTCCTTCACAGCTGGTTCGCCTCGGAAATCGAGTCTATTAACTTGTTTCTCTGATTTCCATTCAGGCAACTTATGCTGCACTTCAGTGAAGCGTGTTTGTTCAAGGCTCACTGACAGCTTGTGTTGTTCCAGGCAGTATCTAAACTCACTCAAGGACAAAGACAACCAACAGAGAAGATGTAATTTCTCACCTTTGACCCAAATTGAGCAGTGTATTTAAAAAAACATTGTACTGGTAGTCATTGTTATCCTTGTGGGTAGGACACTGTATTCAAGCACAACATTTCATAGAAACAGCATTTGTAGAAACATACCCAAAATGAAGAATGAAAGACACCCATGACCCACTAATAACAGCCTGCAATAAATAGCAACTGCAAACCCTTCATCTCTGGGCAAGAGAGATCCTGGTATTAGAATATTTCCTTGTAAAAACACGTATGACAGAGGTGCTGTTTTTCCATAGCTAATCCAGAGCTGCTCAATTGTTTGGACAATGATCTATTTTAGGACATGTGTATATGAGGGTCAGACTTGCCTACAGCTTAAGTTCCACCCCCCCCTCAACAGGCTACACTATTCACTAAATTCTTCATTTGTTTTCTGATTGTCATTGAAATGAACAATTCAGAAGTAAAAGAAGACATTAGGAAAAAATCCCCACATTTAACAATACCCACAATCCTTCTCCTTTATTCCCATCTGTCACTGTAGGAAAGGCAAAGGAGGAAACTGCAGGGAGCAATTTTAATGGAAATATCTCTCAAAAATACTTCATGATGTGAGAGATGCTTTGTGGTGTAACTCTTATCCTCATCTTAAAAAGATAATACAAATATTTCTGGGCAGTCCTGTCCTTGAAAATGTCAAGTATCACTGGAAACACTGATAGATGCTGCAGCTTTAAGAATGAAGTATGGAGAATTAACATGCCAAAGCAAGTTTTACTATCAGTATTTGTAAAATCTTTACAGAAGTGCAACAATAGTGAAACTGCTTTAAAAACAGGATGGAGACAGCAGCAGTTGATACAATCTGTATTCACCAGTACCTGTTTTTACAGGGAAATTTAAGAAGGAAAAGTGTTCATACAGAAAGGCTCTAATAAATAGACTGTTGTCAAATATACGGGTGAACCCACTGGAAAGTGACACAAAATGGCCAGGCTTAGTGGAAGTTTAAACTTCAGTAACAATTTATTCAAAGTTTGCAAGAACAAAGTAATTTACATTAAACTTCTATAGTGTTAATATTTTTTAAAATATGAAGCATCTAAAATGAGTTAAGAGACCTGGAGTAATACTGTAAACATGTACAAACCAGGCTGATACAGCCATTTAAAATTACAGTAACAAGGTATAAAACAATTCTGGTTAAAAGCTATTTATATAAAACAATTTTTATGTTTAAGCAAACATGCTTACTGCTTGTAAGGAATCAAACTGTTTTATGTTTAACATTAGTGCAACCTTAATATTATTGAAACCTGAGTGCAGCAAGAGAAGGTTTCAGGAAGCCCACATAAAACACAGGTGCCTGGCACTCCTAACCCTTCGTGGCACAATGGTTTTAGTACTCAACTGAGTGGCCTGCTAACCACAAACCTGGCTGGCTTCCAGAAGCAGCAAAATAAAGACTGGCAGGTAATGTCACTTTAATCCTAATTTGTCCTGTATAGCACTGGAAGTTTAACTGGCAAATCATGAAAGCTGTTATGACATGTGCAGGAACAATCTTTACCTGTATTTCTAGCAGCATTCCACACAATTTTTACTTAGGAGCGTGAGGATACGGAGGTTGGTTACATTTTAAATTCCATTTCGGAACAAGCACACAGTATTGTAACCACAGCTAAACAAACCCTGAGCAAATTACCTTTCAAACAATGTTTCCAGCCCTGGTTAATCTTTTTAAGAAACTTTCTGCTGTTTTACACAAGACAATAATCAAGATGTTCATTTATTTTAGATTCCAAAACGTCAGTCTCACAGACAGGACAGCTGACTCTTCTATCCTGCCTCACAGGATTGCTAGGACTTGCAGAGGACTGTGTAAACTCAGCTCTGGTTTTTGGAGTTGCAGTGACATCAGTACCCTCCTTTTTGATGAAATACTTTTCAAAGGCAGTTTTGTCTTCTGTTTTTGGCCATCGCTGTAGTGTATTAACACATTCTAAGCTTTTTTTCTCAGATGCACCATGAGCTCTTGCAGTCTGCTCCAAACAAATTTGCTTTGGTGAGCAGCTAGAAGCTGACATAGCCCTCTTGCCCACTGGTGAGCCTTGGCTTGATGTTTCTTCAGCAACACGAGCCACCCTAGCAGGCAATCCCCAGTCATTCTCATCATCTTCTGTATTAGCAGCAGAGGGTTTTGGAAACTCACGCTTTAAAGCTGAATTGCTCTTCCCACCAGCACCACTGGTAAGAAGTGGAAATATGCCACTATGGGGTCGCTTTTCCATTTTTTTCTCATTTTTAGGGATTGGTATTGTCCTTACTGCTGAATGATGCAGTGAGCCATGTGCTTCACTGTTTCCAGTGGAGCTGCTGGCATTTGTGTTTTTCTCTGAAAGAACACTGTCTCCTCCTCCGAGCCGATATCCCGTTCCACTAAAAGGAGTCAGGTCTTGCCTGCCATGCATTTGTGTCTTGCCTGCAAAATCAGATTAAAAAGTAAGTTAATAATTTTTTCATTAAAAAAATCATGGGCTGAGTATTTGAGGTGCTTCATACAAATAAATCTGCTGCTTGAAAATAATGCCTCAAACTACACTTTTTGTAGGCAATTCAGTTGAGGAGCAGCCTAGAAGTGCACAAACAAACAGGCCCTGTTCTTTGGCTATGTAACAGTAACATCTAAACCAAGCTGGTGTAATGTTTAGTCCATATTCATTCAAGAAAACGTCTGGACAAAAATCAGTATGGAAAAGAAAAATCATAAAATACCTTTGTTAGTTGACTTGAAATGTGGAGGTTTTTCTGTCTGAGTTTTCTGCTTGGACTTCTCTGAGAATTTCTCTGGCTCCTTCACTTTTGTGAACGTGCCCCCACACGTCCTTTGATGTTCATCCCACCAGAAGTCATGTGCAGAGGGTGCTCTGTTCATTGAGCGCTTCACATATCCAAAGTAAGGCGCTCTGTTTTGGCAGGGGCCGTTGCATCGCCACCAGTGCTGGCGGTACAAATTAATCTCATCATAAAAATCGTGATAGATCTATGTTAAAAACAAACAAACAAAAACAAAACCAAAAAAACTCCAGTCATTCAAGAAGATATAAGCTTTATACCACTAGCTCTTAATATTTTTTTAAAAACCTGTTTCCATTAAATTCCTTCCACTACTGCTGTGATTTCTATATCAGCAGTTAGAAGAGCTGGACCTGAGTAAAATTTGATCAGCATTTAGCTACCATGAAAACAAAGCTTTAAAAAACATAGATAGGATGTGTAGGAATATGGCCTGGTTATCTTGTTTGAACTGCAGTAAAATCACTTTGAAATCACATTTGAAATCATTTTGAAATCACTTTGAAACCACATTTTTTGAAATCTATGTACAATTTCACCAAGATGAAATGTTTAGAATGCATTGCAAACAATACCAGTATTGTACTGGTATTGCAGCTATTACCTTAACTGATCTTGTTAGACACATTATTTTTAAATATTGACATAAAATCATTACTCTCTATTGACCTTAACTGATCTTGTTAGACACATTATTTTTAAATATTGACATAAAATCATTACTCTCTATTGACATAAACCTTGACTGCTCTCCACACGGATCACTTCTCTCCCTGCTACCATTAAGCTGTTTCTAGTTTACCACAAAAGCTTAAAGAATAATTCTTACAGAGAACACATCAACAATGAAAATTATATGACAAACAACTCACCACATCTTCCTCAACCTGTTCCCACCACCGTCCCCAATAAAATAACAATGGAACTGGCACATCCTTGGATGCAAATTTGTATTTGGTACCAACTGTGGAGCGTCTGCCAAGAACATTATTCCACACTGGCCAATTGAAACACCAAATCAGGAAGAAAGCTCGATTAAATCAGGTGAAGAGGATTGTTCTTACTGTGACATTGGCTCCGGTCAAGAGATTAATGCGACGCATGTGCTTGCAGAACTCCGGTCCGTGAGACTCACGATCTTTGTCGTTATGAGTAACAAAGAGCAGGGCATGGATCATTTCGTGCAACAGTGTCTGAAATGATGCAACCATTAGATATTCATTGAAAAGCACTGCATTTTCAGTTTCACTATTAAGCTGCAAGTATTTTACTCCTCTACATTGATTGTGGTACTGACCTTAACTCTGAATATTCACGTATTCAGTGTGGGTCATAAAAACATAGTGCTTTGATCTATCAAACCAAATTACCCCTATTCCCACATCACTAAAACATACTGCAGAATATCACTAAAATAAGCAGCACTCCAAAAAGGAGAAATAATCCTCAAACTTAAACCAGATCTTTAACGACATCATGCCCTACACAACCCCCAAAAAGAGACGCTTTTGAGCAAGCTAAAACTCTACATGTCTGTTCTTAGGCAAATCTGAATGTTCAGCCAGCTCAAAGCAGCAGCTCTGGCAGAGGCCCAAGAAGCAACAGAAAGTCATGTTAAGTCCTATCCTATATCCTTATTTTCTGCTGTTGGCCTTTTCGAAACTACAGTCCATGTTTGGTTTGAATATTAAAAGACAATTCAGGAGTTAGAAACTCGGGGTGTTTTTTTCTCTACATAAAGTCAATAAAATAACCAAGTGACTTCAGACTTCTACTTGGAGTTGCCCGCTTAGAAAAATAAAACTAGAGATTACCATGGTACACAAGCCACACAAACCTAACAGTAAAGCCATCACTATTGTATGATCTGTAAGTTACTGCATAAAAGAATCCCACTATGAAATCTCAAATGTTTGTATGAAGCAGGGGGGTGGGCACAATACACTTTATGTGCAGATAGATTCATAAGCCACGTTCAAATACCTCCACAAGATCTTTCCTTGGCCGTAACTTGAGAAGCGGCTCACTGAGACGAATGGAACACAACCCACTTCTTTTGTGATATGAACAGATACCAGCAGAGCTGAAAGGAAAAGCAGAAAGAAAATATGAAAATCTATTTGCTTCTGTAGCACATGAAGGAAAGGGAGAATTTAAGTTAAAATGCCATCCCTTGTAAACACATGCAACATCACTTAGAACATGGAATAAAATCGCTTTGAGTAGTTACTTGAAAAACTCAGCATGGTTAAGCAAAGGAAAAAACAATCCACAAATTCCTTAGAGTAGAAAAACCTGTTTTGAAGGCAGAAGAATGTTTCTTTTAGAACTTGTGATGGACTTGGATACACTACAGGGAGGCTGGAGATTCATGGCAGCAAACTATGATTTAATTGCTGGCTGTTTAAATTTTGCTCCCCACCCTTCATCAACTTTTGACTCATACCGAACTTACATACCTCTTTACTTCTGTGCACTCACCCACCTTGTTTGTCCGTGTTAGTCCTACGGAGTTAGTCCTGTATTGGTGCAATATCCAGCTATTTCCAAATGTCTAAAGAACACTACAACCAGCAGAGGATAAGAGGCAGCAGGACTCCAGCCGCCAGCAGCTGCATCTGCTGCACAACTGCAGATCGCACTTCAAAGATTCCTGGGCTTGTTTAACCTCGAATTTCTTCTACATTCCCCTTCCTAGTCTATTCTAAATTTTACCAATATACTATTATTGGTTCCTATTCGCCTTTCTGCCGTGCACTAAAACTATCATAAAGACAACCAGAGCAGCAACACGAGTACGTGAGGATTCCACACACACCATCTCAGACCAAGTAATTCCTCGCGTTTTAACATCCCTCCGGCTCGCCTGCACCCCGGGGAAAGCCACTGACGGCTGCCAGGGGCGACAGATGCCAGGCAAGGGACACAACGACAGCGACCAGCTCATGTCGCGCCCTAGGGGCTCTGCCAGCGACGCGGGACACCGGGGTGCCCGGGAAGAGAAGCCGTGGCAGCAGCAGGGCGCTAGCGGGGCACAGCGAGGAGCGGCGGAGGGACAAGCGACAGCTGCTCCCCGGCAGCCGCCGCGGCCCCACGGCTGCCGGCCCTTCCCAGCGCCCCGACACCGCGGCGGGCAGCCCTCGAAACATAAGCATCGNGAGGACGAGGAGGATGAGCCCTCCGCTGAGGAGGAGGTTGTTGACCTCTCGCTTGAGTGGATCCAGGAGCTGCCCGAGGACCTGGACGTCTGCATTGCTCAGCGGGACTTCGAGGGGGCGGTGGACCTCTTGGATAAACTGAACGAGTACCTGGCGGACAAGCCCGTGAGCCAGCCCGTGAAGGAGCTGCGGGCCAAGGTGGACGAGCGCGTCCGGCAGCTCACGGACGTGCTGGTGTTCGAGCTGTCCCCGGACCGCTCGCTGAGGGGAGGCCCGCGGGCCACCCGCCGAGCCGTGTCCCAGCTCATTCGCCTGGGCCAGTCCACCAAGGCCTGCGAGCTGTTCCTGAAGAACCGGGCGGCCGCCGTGCAGACGGCCATCCGGCAGCTGCGCATCGAGGGCGCCACGCTGCTCTACATCCACAAGCTCTGCCATGTCTTCTTCACCAGCCTCCTGGAGACGGCCAGGGAGTTTGAGACGGACTTCGCCGGCAACAACGGCTGCTACTCGGCCTTTGTTGTCTGGGCCCGCTCGTCCATGAGGATGTTTGTGGATGCCTTCAGTAAGCAAGTGTTCGATAGCAAGGAGAGTTTGTCAACTGCGGCAGAGTGTGTCAAGGTAAGAGAGTCCAGAGGGTGGGGTGGTGGGGCACAATAGCTCAAACAAAGGCTTCAAAGCTTTAAATTATCTTTTCTAACTCTGGTGTAGTTGTTGACTCTAGTGTGGGTCTCCAGAGGGGTTTCCTGCGTTGAAAGGTTAATATTCATTCGAGGTTTGTTTGGCTTTTTTCAGTTTGACAGAGGAAAGCCTTAAGGTTGTAATACACGGCAAGAAAAAAAAACCCTGCCTTTATCAGGAATGCAAAATGTGTTGATTCTTAATTTGCCTTTAACTAGTAGGAGGTCCTAAAATTTACATAAGCTACAACTGAATTGTGAGTACTTCAAAACTTTCTCTGTTTTCCAAGGCTGTCCTTAGCTACATTTTCATACCTTTTTTGCAAGACTGATTTTCTCAGGTTATGCTTTCTTTCAGCTGCAAATTGGAAGGGGGGGAAAAAAAAAAAGCCTATGTTTGAGTGGGTTATAGTGTAATTGTCCAGAGTATTTTTGACAGGCAGGGTGTGTCTTTCAGTTACTAATTTCCCATTAATGAGATTCTTAAAAGCGTGAGAAACAAGTCTGAGTAACGCTTGTCAGCTTTCTGAGATAAACTTGGTAAAAATGTAAAGGGAGCCTGCACAGTAATAACATCCTTTGCTTTTCTTTGTTATCCCAGGTAGCTAAAGAGCACTGCAAGCAGCTGAGCGAGATTGGACTGGATCTCACCTTCATCATTCATGCCCTCCTGGTAAAGGATATCAAAGGTGCTTTACAGAGCTACAAGGATATCATCATCGAGGCCACCAAGCACCGCAACTCTGAGGAGATGTGGAGAAAGATGAACCTGATGACTCCAGAGGCGCTGGGGAAGCTCAGGGAGGAGATGAGGAGCTGTGGGGTGGGCAATTTTGACCAATACACGGGTGATGACTGCTGGGTCAACCTCAGTTACACTGTAGTAGCTTTCACTAAGCAGACTATGGCCTTCTTGGAGGAAGCCTTAAAGCTTTACTTTCCAGAGCTGCATATGGTTCTTCTGGAGAGTCTCGTGGAAATCATCCTGGTGGCTGTCCAGCATGTCGATTACAGTTTACGGTGTGAGCAGGACCCTGAGAAAAAAGCATTCATTAGGCAGAATGCCTCTTTCCTGTATGAAACTGTCCTTCCTGTTGTGGAAAAAAGGTTTGAGGAAGGGGTTGGAAAGCCAGCCAAGCAGCTACAGGATCTGAGAAACGCCTCAAGACTGATGCGTGTAAATCCGGAAAGTACCACCTCTGTGGTGTGAAGTGAACCTGTTCCTGGGAACAAGGTGGCAGCACTTACTGAAGATGTTGTACATTGAACTAAGCAGGGGTTTTTTTGAGTCCCTGAAAGATGCAGAACTCTTATTTGCTGCATTCCAGAAGCTGAAGACTTTGAATCAATGCCTGCAAGCGTGCAATGCTTTACCTGGTGGATGGGGTGTAGGGAAGTGATAAGGTGGAGGTCACATCTCCTTGGAGAGCGTATCCTGTACAAAGGGTTTGTGTAGTATTTGTGACTTGGGGAATTACTGTAATACACAGATTTTGGCCAATTGTTTGTGGAAGTCTTAAATACATCTGCAGCAGATGGCAGGAAAAGATCAATTCTCATCATGTCACTGTAGCAATTTTTTTTTAAGGCAGTGTTCTGGGGAAGTGCTGAAGCATTCCCAGGGTGTGGTATTCAGTAAGGCACATCCACCAGATGTGACTCAGCACTGCACCTAAATGACATGCATTTGCACAGTGTGATTTTTGTAGTAGCAATGCAGACTTTTCTTCAACGTTGAGGTTATTTTCATTCATTTCAGAGGCAGATTGAAATAAAAATGTTTATATAGTTTTTGGTGTTGGGGTGAAGGGGCTTCTTCTGTTTAATAAGCTGGCCTGTCAGCCTAAATTACAGCTGTCTGAAAACAAACCTGCTGTCAGAACCATTTGTTCCCTTCAAGAGAAGTGAGAATAAATTGCTTCCCTTCCTCTTTATGTTTGGCTGCCATGTTTTCTCATGGATCTAATTGGGGTCATGTCCATGGAGTGAAGTGTGCACTGTTGCTTGAGATGTTGTCACAAATGCATTATGGGCTGTTGTCTCCTGGCTGGAACCATAGTGAAGAGGCATGCATGCCCTTGAGACATGCAGGGCAGGGAGAGGGACTGAAGGGACTGTTTCATTTGGAAGAAATGGAATGCTAGTTTCACTGTACAGAAGCAGCACCTGGTGAAGAGGCTGTGAGGCTTTTGGTAAGAGGTGTGAACTTTGAAATATACACTGTCTCTTGCAAGAACTAGCATCATTTCCTGTAATACAGCAATAAGCAAGAATAACTTATCTTGTTTTGCAGAAATCACAAGGATTTGGATGGCGATTTTCATGTTGATGGGAAATGTTTATACAAATCCTCTTATGTTTGGACTGAATGGTGTTGATGTTGATGGGAAATGTTTATACAAATCCTCTTATGTTTGGACTGAATGGTGTTGGCTGTCTCATGCAGTAAATGTCTGAAAATAAAATAAGCCAAGTCTTGTGTCAAGGCTGGCTTTGGAAAGCTGTCAGTTTCAACTTCTAAGCTGTGCAAACTTCTTCTGCTTCTGTGCAAACTTTCTTAGTTGTGAGAAAATCATGTTACACCTAAGGAACCTTGTATTAGTCCCTCAAAAAGTGTCCTTAACTGGAATAACTAAATATCCAATTCTTGTAAGGCTTTCAAATTAAAGCTTTTGCAGTTTGTATCATGGTAATGAATGCCTTGTGACTGCCTGAACAAACAAAAGGTTTCACTAGTAAAACATTCTGCATAACTGTTAGACTGAAGCTTCTTAATTTCTCCCTCTTTTCATAGTGCTAGTTCAATGCAGTTTTCGCTTCAGTGGCTGGGTTTTGTTCTCTTGCTCTTTGGATGCCTTTTGAACTGTCAGATTTTGAAAAGCATCCTATTATCTCTGCTCACTTATTTTTCAGTGTTTGGGCCTTTTGCTAGCAACTCACAAAAAAAGTCCTACAAAATGTTTTTAAAGGGTAACTTGTTGCTCCCAACTTACATTGATTGAAAACCAGTGAAACAGCTCTACTTTTATTTTAAGGGACAGGGACAGTAAGTTAGAACTTGTGCAACATGTTCTGTCAAGGGGAGAGTCCTATTGGTGTTATTTCAGTAGGGAACTCTTTGATATCAGAACCTAGTGAAGTATAGCAAAGTAATACAGTCTCTGTCATCTGTTTAAAGTGGGAGAGATGTCAGCCTAATCTGAAAAATACTTTTAAGTGAATTAGACATGAGAATTCTCCATGGTGATGGGTATTTTGGACGAGAGGGGAAGAGATAGCTTTTTTTTCCTGTGAAAACAGGTATATTTATCTTTTTTTTTTTAACATCAGAAGAAAGGAGAATAAATACAGATGAGCCTTATCTTTGTGTGTGTGTATGTGTTTGCAAGAGAAGGATTAGATCTGGAACTCCAGACTGATTATTGTGATACTTGGGGATTTTATGCAAGAAGCTGAATTGTAGTTTCCCAATTCCCAAACATTAACATGAGGCTGAAAAGGAGGAGAGCCCTGATCATGCTTCTGTTGTGAGCTGGTGTAGCACAGCTTACCCTCATCAGAGGATGAAATTTGGGGTGTAATTCTGCCTGATGCTCTGTTATGCTTCTGTCTCTGAGCCCTTTATCAATCTGTTTATGGCGCACTGAGACTACTGATTTTGTCTCTGCTGTCATCCCTGGAGCAGTGGGTTTATGTTGATATCAGTTTTAATGAATCAGGGAATCTGGCTTTTCATTTGGGTCATCAAAAGTCATGTTCTTGTACCTGTCACAATTCAAACAGGTGTGGATTTGTATAAACTGCTATAAGTGGCACTGATACTTTGTAACTTGTGAATCTATTAGAGTCAAAAGAAAAGCAGTATCAAAGAAAATGGTGTGGAATGAATCTGAACACACTTTTATGTTAACTTAGTTAACAGAGAAAAATCAGTCTATGCTGAGTCATAGTTTAATAAATTTCAGTTTTGGAATGGCACTTTCCTTTTCCTGAGCTGTACACTTGTGGCAATAGTGTTCAAGTTGGGATTTGCAGTAACTACTGAATAATTTGATAATAGTTCTGCTGATTTGAGAAAGAACTAATACTGGGGGTTTTTGAGACAACTGTATATAAAATATGTTTTCCTCTAGCTACTGTGGCAAAATTGTGTACAATGATTTTTTCTTTAAAATTCGGATAAATTTATGTATTAGAATTTAATGCAATAACTTTTCTGAACAGTGAAGACCATGCATTAAAACTTTTGGACATACAGCACTAGTGGTGTATCTGTTTTGATCATCAGAAAGAGGATTTTGGTTTTAAGTTTGACTTCCAGTGAAGTCAAAGAGCTTCAGGTCAGTCCCTGAGGGAGAGGTGAGCACAACTCTGTGTCCAAGGTGACGCTGGAAGAAAATGTTGGACACAGAGGAGAGGCTGTACTCTCGTCTGATGGGACTTTGGGGGTGTGTGTGTGATGGATTATCAGCACCAAGGCAGCATAATGCTAAAAGGGTTTGTTGTCTGCCAGACTTTTTTGTGTCTGGAGTCCACCCATTCTTACCTTGGATGCTGAATGTGTAGTACAGCCTGTGCCCTCACTAGGTGGAGCTTTGTGCACTGAAACCTCAGCAGGCTGTGAGCAGGCTGAGCTGTGAGCTGTGCTGCCCTGCAGTGCAGCTTCGCAGGTTTTGGGTAGCATGCTGGGGGAAGAACATGCTGCAGAGAATGATCCAGATGTTAGGTTCAGGTCGTTTTCATTCCATGGTAGTGGTTGGGTTCTGCATTTTCTGATTCTTGTACTGTTGGTTCTTAAGTTCTTCATGTTTTCCTGAGGTGTTTCTGTACTGTTGGCATGCATCTTTCAGAATATTTCACCTTTCTGCTTTTCTTTCAGGTAGATACCAACGCGTGACTTGTGTTCTGCCTGAGAAACACTGTTACACCTCAAGCCCCTGCAGAGATGTGAAAAGTTGCTTGTCCAGCTGCAGTTTTATGTCTCATGTAAGAAGTTCAGATTAGTGACTTCTCAAAGTCAAGTTTGTGTGATCTCTGGTCACTTTACTTCGGTATTGGACTGAAATTCCCATGTAACTTCATGCTCACAGCGCAGATTTGCACTCCAGCACTGTAACATAGAAAGTCCCCACCACCTATTGTAACTTACAGGCTCTTGGTATTCCTTTTGCTGCCCAAGTGTTTCAATTTAACTTAATTTACCTTTTACTTAAAAATATTAGTAGTTTTGCAGGCTCTTTAGTATATTTTCTCTGATGAATATCAAATCTGGCATGGGGTGTACCTGTCAAGCAGCTCTGTGCCCACAGACATCTTTTTCCTCACAGGTTCAGGAATTGTGATACGCCTTCAATCCCTACAATGTCTGAGGGATAGTGTGGAAAGAAACACCTCAAACTGTAAGGAAAATAGATTTATGTCATTTACCACTTCAAGGGATGTTGGCTGGAGTAATAGACCAGAATTTGATTGAGCTACCTTGGACACAGAGTTGTTACTTCTCATGTATTTAGGAAACTTTGCTTATAAGGCTTCAGCAGCCTCAACACGTCCTGTAATAAATTCTCAATTTCAGGGTTACTCACTGAGCTAGATTACCTGCTGCAGATGTGCTCGGTTTGACACAGCAGAGATAAAGTAGGAGCAAGGGACCTGGCCTGTGCTGACCACTGAGCAGTAGTACCCTTCCTGGGGCTTCACGTGGCTGATCAGGGCAGTTTCAAGGCAATTTTAGATCACCCACCTGAGGCCCTGTGGTATTTATTCTCTCTCCCTCCCCATGCAGTAGCCGCATTCCTTTTGACGGGCAGAGCATCCCACATCCCACCCGAGTGGGAGGATGGAGAGAGGAGCAGCTCCCCAAATTCCTTGAAGCGAGCTGCGGTGGCACAGGGCCACCAGCGGGGGTCCCGCGGGAGCTGTGCAGACACCCCCTGCAAGAGGGGGCACTATTGCTGGGATTAATTCCATCTGCTCCCACCATCCGCTGTACCAGACAAAGCTGGTACAAAAACTGAGAGATTGGTCTCTTGGTGGACCCTGAGGCATCGTCTTAGCTTGCCCAAAATATGATGTGGCCCCCCAGCTGTTGGGAATCTGGTTCAGATGTGCTAATAATATCTTGGCATGTGATTAGTGAATGCAATGCACTAGGAAGGTGGACCAGGAAAAAGAGCAGGTAGCGTTAACTTCACTGCTGCTTGGGAAAACCTTGGAGATGCTTGGATTGATAATGTTTTCCGGTTACTAAAAAAAAAATAAAATTAAAAGCATACAGCTCTTTATCTAATTGCACCAAGACACACAATTCTTCCTCTGTCCTTCCAGAAACTGACTCAAAAAAATCAAAAGTCTCATGAAGGTAAGAGAGAGTGAGCCAAATCCACTGTGATACAAGGCATGTGATTCTAAACACTGCAAATTTTGGCAAAATTAAGATCTGAACTTCAGACATTCTCCAAACTTTGCCTCACTCTTCCAGATTTCTGGACTTGGAGTTCTCTGGGCTTTGAGTCATTCCTACTGTTACTAAACCACAATTCAGAGACAACAATCTGTGCCAGTCAGACTAATGTGTTTTGCTTTGTTTTGTTTTGTTTTAATTATAGCTTTGCAGCACTGCTGCAGTTCTGGGGATTCCTGTTAAGTTAATTTTTCAAATGCAGTATTCACAATAGGAAGGAGCCCAGCTCCTAGCCCCAGCATCTGCAGGATGGGATTGTCAGGAGAGTGCTTGAAGCTCTGCAGAGAATCCTTCCTTCCTAAGGACTGAGTGAATTTCTCTCTCAAAATGCAGATCTCTGATAAGCAGCTTCTGCTCTGCTCTATTTCCCCCTCACTAACAATTGGCAGGATTGTTTGTTTTCCCACTCCACAATATAACCTTTCCAGCAGAGGTGCCAGACTTGCTTTGTGGAGGAAGGATGTCAAACTGAAGGTTGAGTTACAGTCTGTACATCTGTCCTAGTACAGTTCAGGCTATATAACTCCCTGCCTGCTCTTGCCATTGACAAAGTTGATGGGGAGGAGGGGGACTGGGAGGTTTACAAAGAAAGATTTGTAATCTTTGTCCCTCTGACTTCCACCCAGCAAGGTGCTTAAACACACACTGAAGATGCCCCCCTGAATTTGGGAAGCCCACTCCTAGTCAGAGGCAATTAGATCCTAAAGTGCTTTTCATGAGTGGAGGATCAGTAAATTACTTTTGAAATTTGCAAAAACAATTGGCAAAGAAGGGATGGGAGAGTAGCACCAGAGCAACAGCACCACGTGAGCAAACAAAATGTGTGTTTCTGGGACATCTCTGCTCTAGTGTGACAAATGGTGGTCCCAAACAAAACCTGCCCCTTCCTCAGTGGGAGCAGTACGCTCCATAAATCATCAGTGCTGCAACTTCCCAGGAGGCAGCAATAACAGTGTGGGACACACTAAAATAAAGTCACTTCATCTGACCAGCTGTGATAGGTGACACCACGTTAGGGTGGAGGAAATGCCTCGGGAAAACAGCGACACTTAAGGAAGGGTGCCCATGGAGGCTGGATCACCCGCTGTTCTGAGAGGTGCCTCCACCTGAGCCCGACACCAGCGCTGGCTGGCATTGTCCTGACACACACCACCTTCCCTCATTTTGCCCAACTCCAGAACCTCCCGTGGTGAGCATTTTCCTCCTGCTGTCCATTGGCCTGAAATAAGCCTCCTCCCTGCTGGCAGGATTAACCCTATCTCATTTGCTTGGTGACAAGGGATGTGTGCAGGGAACAGAAGGCCCCGGTGCCGCCCGGCAGCTTCACACCGGATAGCTCCTCTCCTGGTGTGCCTCTAATCAGTCACTATTTTTTGTCATCTACTGAAGTTTATTACCATTTAAATAGCCTTTCAGCCTCAGATGTCCTGTGGGGTTTCTGCCTCTGCTGCCTCATGCCCTGTGAAATTAATTCCTGTAGGAGCATGTCCTCCCAGGAAAATGGAAAGAGCTCAACTAAGCTGGTTTAGAAACTGTTGTAAATCCCCACAAGTCCTTCTGTGGCCCTTCAGTTTGGACTGGGACACTTTCTAAGTACTCAGCTTGGGGTAAAATATGCTTAGACTGGAAAGTGTTTATTTCCAACCAAAATTACCACACTGAGTCCTGCTGTCTGGGGCAATGTTTTTGAGTACTGTGAGCAAATTCCATATTTAACTCAGCATGTGTTTTTAGGCCTTTTAGATTTAAGGGCCAGACTGAAAATGCCTTTAATCAGGAAGCAATTAATTGCACAGATTTCCTCTTTGCAGCCAGTGTAGCACTCAACCAGGTAATACTCCCTGTGAGGCAGTGGCTCATGCCTGCAACACTGCTTTTATTACTGCGTATCTCTGCTAATTAGTGCCTTTGGATGGTAGGCCAGGGTGCCACAGGGGGTTCAGATAAAAGGTACCATGAGTCAAGACAATCTAAAGATAGCTTTAAGAAGAAAAAGGTTTGAAGAAAATGGTTTGCCTTCCTGATGAGCTTTTAAAAAAATTATTATTACTATTATTTTTCCTGAAGAAAACACGCAAGAAGGATTGATTGATACTTTTGATGGAAGTCAAGGACCTGGTTGTGACTTCAAGTTCCAAGTAACTTGTAGTTGAGCTCACTCACGCACACACTGGAGCTTTTTCCAGAGCACTGTGATGCTCACCCAAGACCAATGCCAAGCAGACAAAACTTAGTTTGTATCTTTTGCACTCACCTTCATGCAGAGGATCACAGTCCTGGTTCTCCATCAAAAATGATGCTCAGCTTCACTTGCAGAGAAGAGTATGGGGAGCTGGGGGACATGTTTAGCCCTGATTGATAGTCCCTGGGGCAGAACACACACAATGTCTCACAAAACAGGAGGGTAAGGCTTAGTTGCCCCTCTGCCCCACATTCAGGCCAGGGCCATCTCTCCACCTGCTAATGCTGATACCAGCCTTGCTCACTCTCTCAGACACAAGTCTCACATCCTTCCTGTCCTACATGCTGGCTATAAAGAACAAATTCCCTCATTATGCCATTACTATAATTTACAGCAGAAACCTTCCCCTCTGCACACACAACTCTTCATGTTTGACTATTATAATTGCATTTTCAAAGTTATAAATAACACGTTAGCCTGGTTTATGTGTTCATGCAAGTCAGGCTATAAACTGGCAGATGAATGAAATTAACTGTCTCCAGAATTCACATTCCTGTCACTTATTCAATTATTTGATCAACGTAATTGCTCAGAGCAAGAGCTAATTGGAAAATGACATGCATTTACCCTCTCTATAGAGGAAGAGAGGCTTATCAGGTATTTTACTGCAGGCACTTTCATTACTTCCAATACGCTGGAAGAAACAAGGATTTTAAATGAGCCAGGCCCAGGCACACAAGGCTTGTTTTTTAGCCAGATGCTTCCCCATCCTTAAAATAGCTGCAGTATTTTGCAGTGCAAGGCTTGGAACACGCCTATACTGCAGCACACACAGGTATCTTGGCACGGGTGTATGCAAGCTGCAAGTCAAGCTTGCCTCCAGGAGTCTGCAGCACAAAATGTGCTCCTGCTCTGTGCATCTGTATTTGTACTGGTGCTGCAGCTATACGTGTTTGCTTCTTCCTGTGACAGACTCCCATCCCTGGGTGCTGATGCAGAGAATATTGGATCGCTGAGGCTTGGCTCTCAAGAGCAGGAAAGGCAGAAAGTGATTTTTTGTGTGTGTGTGTGTGTGCGTGTTGCTAGTGTAGAAAAGATTGTGAATCCCCACCTTGCCAGCTCAAATCTTACATCAAGGTTACAGCTTGAAACACCAATACCTTTCAAATGATCTTTCTGTCCCTCACCTCGCCCAGATATCCTGGTTAACACCCTGAGTTATTAAATTTTCTTACTAAATTAAAATCTAAGAAGGGGGTGCTAGAACAGAGTAGGGAGGGATAAAAAGAATTGGGAGGTAGGAGACTCAAATCCTAAAGTGGTCCCTCTTTCCATTATTAGCTCTAGCATTGTCTGGAGTTGGAATATTTCATTGAGACAGGCAAGCAATTTTCCAAGCTGTATGGAAGGGGAGGAAGCTCATCTATCAACGCCAACAGTTTGCAGCCTATTGTCTGCAGACCCTGAGGGTTATCTGCTGGGGAAAGGGAGCTAAGAAAATCAACCCTGTTGCCAGTCATCTTAAATTTGCGACAGATGGTCTGCACCTCTGTTGGAAAATATTGAGGTCTGCAAATTAAAAACTGGGTAAAAAACAGTGTGATTTCCTCCTGCTGTTCGTGAGCAATTCAAGCATCAGGTTTTTGGGTGCTTGAATAAGAATCTCCAGAGGTGATTCAAGGGGCATGTGAGTGCTGAGAAATGCTGCACCAAGTCTCACTCCCTGAGGTGTAGCAGTGCTGCTAACACTGCACAAGTGGTACAGGACAGCTCCAGGAAACTCGCTGTGCTGCGTGCTGTGTCCAAGGGGCTGCCACTGCCTACATTTGATGAGTAGTGAACCAGGTGAGCAATTATTTAGTTTATCCAAGAGGAGATGAAATGAGTGCAGCACAGCCTATTTGTACTTGCACCAGGACATGCCTGATATTGGAGGTTTTTTAGAGTAGGAAGCAAAAGTATCCAATAAGAAAATAAAAATACCTCCGCCATGCAGTGCTTGTGTACGTGTCCCAGTAGTCCTTGGGAGAAGGAGAATTAGATTCATTAAGTACCTGTAAGCAGAATTTTGTTGTGGTGCTCAGTAGGATTGCTGTGCAGTTTGGACAAGAGGGATGCTGAGGGCATCAGGTGCCATTCCTGCTCACAGCTCTGCGACACACACAGCCACAGCAAGCTGCAAACAAGGACAATGCCAAGGTTTGGGGTCGTATGAGTGACTCCAGCCCGTGGAAAACTGGCCTCTGAGTGTGAAGCTGTGATCTCTAAGCTGTGGCTAATGGAATAAATCAGTAACCTGATGGTGCCACAGGACACTGCGGATGGGGCATGCAGGCTCCTGTTGCCAGTTCTAGGCACAAAGGGAAAAAAAACCCATCAAGATATTGTGGGTATCTCTGTGAACTGAGGCTGCTGCTACGGGTAAAGCAGGGCACGGGCCTGCAGGGCTCCAAGGCAGCGGGGCCAGCAGAGGGAGCCCGCCGCTGCCGCATCCCGGGATCGCCTCGGCCCCGTCCCCAGCCCCGCATCCCGGGATCGCCTCAGCTCCGCTCCCAGCCCAGCAGCTCCTGATCTCCCCCATCCCGCACCTTTCCCAGCCCAGCATGCAGCCTCGCAGCCCCGCAGAACCCCTGCACGCCGCTCTGGGATCCTTCAGCCCCTCCACTCAGCAGCCCCGAGGCCTTGGATCCCACAGCCTCCAGCCCAACATTTCCCTGTGCCCAGCAGCCTCTCGCCTCCCCAGCTCGGTGTCCCGGCAGTCCCACAACCAATCACACCGGCAGACTGGCACCCAAATGTCCATTTCTGTAGCCCTGCAGACCCGCAGCCTGGCACCAAGCCCCAGATTCCCAAATGCTCGAATTTCAGCGTCCCCACATCCCAGCTGCCCTGCAGCCCAGGAGCTCTGCAGTGCCCACAGCCCGTCATCCAGCACAACACCCAAGCTGTAAAGCAGCCCCAGAGACAACAACTCCAAGTGCCAGCAGCTCAGCATCCCAGCCCAGGGCACACAGAAAGTGCAGCTGGTACAGAGCTGCTGCTCCTGGGTCTAGGCTTTATTGTGGCTTTTGCCCCCAGGCACAGTGACAACTCTGACTGGAGGTGGCTGTAGTTATTTATTGGGGTTTTTGCCAGAGGCCCTGCTATGAGCTATATTGACAGAGGAGCTATTTCATTCCTGGGATACTGGATACATCTTTCACATGTGATCTGCAGCCTGAGTCTGAGGAGGCAGCTTTACAGTGTGCTGGATGCAGCCAGCACTGCTGATGCACTCTTGGTCCCACGGCTCTGCAGGGCTGGAAACAGGCATGCAACACGAGAAAGGCAGGCAGCAGCTGCCTCTGCAACTTCTTGGCTCCAATACTACAGCTGGTACTTCACTGTGAGCTTTGCCTCCGCCAGAAACAGTCTCTCCCTGTGCACAGGAGCAGGTTTTTCTGTAGGATTTTAGCACTGGGAAGGAACACTGGAAAACCTGGTGGTTTTGTTACGCTGGGACACTCATTCTGCCAACTGTGAATCAACATGATTGCACTTCTGCAATGGAAAATTCAATAAATGTATGCAGAAAAATTACTCTCCCCCAGTTTTTGTCCAGTCCTGTCCACTTTGTGGTCCTGCTGAACTTCATGCTAGCAGCTCCATACAGGAGGGTGGTAGCGTGATCAGTCTGGTGGAACACTTCTCACCTGGCTGACTTACAGCAAAGCCTTGCTATTATATATGAAGCCATAGCACAGGTGTGCTGCTCCTCTGTGAACATATTCCAGAGGTACATGTGGGCTGTCTTAGCTGGAATTTCATTCTATTTTTTATTCAGGCACAAAATATCTGGTTACCGTTTTCAGCTGAGAGAAGGTGCTGGAAATGGAAAAAGTCAAGTCACAAAATGGGACAGAAAACAAAGCCATGGAAAATATTTGCAGCCAAACAATAAAAATGCAGTTTGAGTCAATGGTAATATTGAATTTCAGTGCTTTCAAGATTTTATTATTATTACTTAAAAGTAAAATTATTTAAAATGTAGAAGATATTTTAATAAAGAAAACATTCTAAATGTCAACAATGGAAAAAGGGATGCTTTGATATTCATAATTTTTTCCTTACTACTTCTATTTGAGACATGTATTGGGCATGTTTTCTTTTGTAGGTCTCATAAGAAAAACAATAGTTTTAAGGAATAAGAATTTTTTCAATTAGACAACATTTTGCTGAAAACTCATATCTGTAAGAAAGCTGGAAATAGTTAGTGTGAAAAGTGTAGCAGGAAAGTTTTAGTTCCAGATGTGTTATTCTGCTTTCCCTGGTATGACAGAGGTAGTTAAAATTAAAGTTCAAAGATGCAGCGCTGTTGTAACTAACTACATATTTCCTGACATTTGTGCCTGTCAGCACAGGGGTGGTTAGTCTGCTGCTTATAAATCTGAGTTTAATTCATTCTCTTACCACAGGGAGCAATCAAAACCCCAGTGATTCCCAGGGAGAAATCAGGGCCAGTGAACAAGAGGTTTTTCCTAATTTGTTTCTGTCTGTGTTTTGTTCGGAAGATACATGTAGTGAACACAGTCCAATCCCAGCCCTGCTCTGCTGAGTCAGAGTCAGCTTCTTGGTCTTATGGATCTCAAGTCAGGAAGGCAGGATGGTCTTGTGGCTTAGGATATGCACTGTGAGTCAAAATAGTTTATTCATGAAAAAAAAATTGTTCCTTTCATTTATTAGCAGATCATCAAAATGCCTTTTGTCTTGGTTTGAAAAGACAGGTGTCTGCTAAGGAAGGCAGGAACCTCCCTTGAAATGGAAAAATGTAAAACCACCCCCTTCAAATTATTATAATCTTGAAATCAGGGGGCTCTCAGACAAAGATATGGGAATAGGAAAAACAGTTCTTTACTAGGAAAATTGAAATAAAAATGGAGTAGTACAAAAAAGAATCCACTGACAGAGTCAGAATACAACTGACACCCTGTTGGTCAGGCTGCTGGTAGCAGTCTGATTAAATGGTGGCTGCTGGAGTGACAGATGTGGTTCTGTTGAAGCAGTGATCGTCTAGAAAGGTGTCGTTTTCCTCTGAAGATCCAGTGGTGGTGGATCCATGGTCCCAGTCTTCCTCTGGAAATCCAGTGGAGAAAGGCTGACTGAAAGGTGTTCCAAGTCTCAGATTATATCCAGGTAGGAATGCTTGGCTCCTCCCCCTGGGTGGAGCATCTGACAATGGGATGATGGAATTTATCAGTCATGCAGTGACACTCAATGGCCCATTAACAGAAGATATCCCCCTGGAGGGAGGATGGGTTGTGGAAGAGACAAAGAACACAGCCCCACCTGGTTTGAACAGATGATAATAGAATACATACTTCTGGTTACAACTTGCACTGCAACCCGAGACACCTTTAGTAAATTTCAACTATAGGCATTTAAAAAAACAAAAAAGGGCTAAAAAAAGAAAGTCCAATTGACATTTGATCATTTCTGCATCAACATTACATTTACCTTTAACCAGCTGTTCTGGAAGGAAAAGGACAAGCACCAGGGTAAACACCAGAAATATCCTGATTTGCGTTTTAGGCTTGCCAAACTCCCGTTGATTAAGCTGGGAATGTTGATTAAGGACCTCAAGCTGTGACCCTCAACAATTGAGTCAGGTTACTCCTGCTGCTTAGCAAGGCTTGCGTTAAATTGGAAAGCAGGATAGAGTGTCAGTGAGTTTATCAGCTCTGAGCAGTGTGTTTCTATGCAGATAACCTGCAATACCTCCCTGCTCAGCCCCAGAGTCTTACAGGGGATTCAATAGGTTGTCTGTCTGCTGGTAGGAGATATTAAAGTCCTTCAGAAAAAAAACCCCAACCTAAAAACCAATCCCTCTTTGGACCTATCCTCTGGAAATCAGTCATTCAGACAGCAGAGTTAATGATCAGATGGTGGGTTAATAGCCAAACCTGAAGTCAAAGATGATTAAAGCTTAAAAAAAAATTAACTACTCAATGACTGTAGTCAAAGACAGCATTCAGTTATTTTTTGATGGCTCTTTCTCTTTCTAGGCTACCATAGAGGCTGACATGGGATATTTTAACTTGTCAAGGCAATAGCACCATAGCGACAAAATCCTAAGACACCCATCGGTTTGCTGCGCAGGAGCTGTTTTGCATATGAGGCCTTTGATCTTTAAGTGTATTTAGCATTGCCATTTTTTAATGAGTGTGGTGAGGAGGTGAAATAGGTCCCTTGCTTAAGTAGGACAATTTATTATTGTCACTTAGCTTGTGAAGGACAAGCCATGCAGAAGAGCTCCAGTCAGGGGAGAGAGGTCTTGAACGCAAGAACATTTATGCTTCGGTTAACAGGGAAGCAAGCTGCATGGAGGTTTGCAGAATCCAGTTCCCACTGCATTGGGGAAAAAAAATTATGTTTTTATTTCTTCACCTTCAATTCATGCTTCCTCAGTTTACTGACAAAAGAAATTATAATTATTTTCTAACTAAGATAGGGATTTCCCCTTCTGCTTCATGCTGTGGCAATAAGGTTGTTGGGGAAATGTTGACTGAATAACCCATGGTGCCACTAGGTGCTGTGCAAAGTCAAAGAAATTTACACCAATTTCAAGGGTACAGCTGAGCCTGTCAATCCAGCAGGGAAGGAAAGAGGCACTACTGCAAACCAAATGGAGACTTTTCCAGTGAGACCATAGAGAGATGGTGTGATACAGGTAAATGATATAATATAGCTAAGAACAACTTCTATTTTCAAACAAAAGACTGTAGGAAACAAATGTCATTTCTTGTTCTGTGATCTTTCTTTGATGGAGAGCAATCTAAAATCCAGGACAGACAGTACTTACCAGCATCTAGCTGTACATCTGACATCTTGATTATGTCTTCTCACAGGTAGTGGAGGCAGCGGGAGACAGCAGCACAAGACAGGCAGGGCTTTGCTCAGAACCCAGTATCCATGTGTGCCTCACCCACAGAGGTGAGTGGTCCTGTCACTGGTCAGCTGGGCACACACAAGGAAGGGACCCAAAGGGGTCCCATGAGGATATCTGCTCCTGTGGTTTTCAGGCTGCCCTTCAGGGACACACAGGCGATCCACAGGACAAGAGGAGCTGGTCAGTGAAGTGAATGGAGAAAAAGTGAATGGAACAGGTGCATCTACATCCACACACACAGACAAATGTTATAGTGAGGGAGCAAGAGCACTGAAATGTAACCTAGGCTTTGTCTGGTTTCTTTTCTGTTGCCAGTGAAAATCATCATGGAACTATAGCCCTTGACAGTCCTTGGATTGTTTTACAAAGGTATGGTTGGAAGAGCGATTGTCAGGAATCACTACTGCACCCCAGCTACCTAGAAACAAAATGAGCTGTCCCTAACCATTCCTGACAGCCCTGGGTGTCTCACCTTGCTGGAGATGCCTCAGTCCCTGGAGGCAACTGCAACATGCAATTGTCCACACCTCTGGAAAGTATGTTCTGCCATCTGTATTGAGCTTTCCAAGCTGCGGTTTGAGCTCATTATTTGCTTTCTTATTTACTTCCACATACTGTGGAGAACGGATTATTTCCCTTTGCTGTGGCAAAAGTGAAGAGTGTTCAGCTCCCTATTGTTCATAAGGCCCTATTGCAGGGACAGCCCCTACTTCCCTCACCCCAACGCTGACCAGTGAGCCAGCAACAGCCCAATGTACCCCAGAGCAGTCCAGGAGCAGTACTCTCCACAGCTTTCCTTTTCTGTTGCATTGCTTTTATTCAGTGCTGTCTTCCCAACCCTAAACACCAGCTAAATTTGCATCCAGTCTTGAGTGCTTTTCCAGTTCTAATTCCTACCCCTAGCTGTATTTCCTTAGGAGCAGCCAAAGCACACTCCTGTATCCTCTGAGCCCACTTCGCTCCTTTGCTGCCCTTCAGGAAGGCCTCCCTTCCTTTGCCAAAGGCATCTTTCAAACCCATGGGGACTGCACCACACACACACACACACACACACACACACACACAAAACCAGCTCTACATTAACCAAGACCCAAGACAAACCAAAGCATGGGAACAGAAAAAGAGAGCCCTGTGTGGTAGTCAGCACCTGGAGCTAAACAGATATTCTACCCCTCATATTTTATTTTTTTTTTGTTAATTGTTGCTCTGGACATTTTTGTTTTATCAGATGGGGAAGGACACTCGAGACCCAGCTAATTTGTGTCTCTTGTCAATGGCTCTTTGTTTTCTTTTAGCTTTTTTTTGCCCCTTATTTTTTCTCTGGCCCTATAATAATTTCTTTGTTCTCTTTGGTAAGCTGGTCACTCAGAGCATTACATCCCTGTCTTAAACCTGGCTTCAGTACTGTTCATAACAGCAGCAGCAGCATCTGCTGGGGTAGCAGTGATGCATGGCCACCAAGGCTCCCTCTGCCAGGCACTGCACAAAAAATCATACTTCCTGCATCAACCAAACCTAGCTCTGCAGTAACCTGAAAGACTGAACTGCAGAAAAGAATGCACCTTTTTTACCTTACAAAACTAATAAAATGCTTTGAACTTTCCCCTGGCAGGCACTTTATTGCCCTTGTTCATGACGAGCTCTCTGTCCATACAAGCGTAGGCTAGCAGCAAGGTACTAATAAATTAATAAAGAGAAGGTAGGGCATAGGCCCAGACAGTTGCCCATACAGTTAAATGGTTGGCATTGTCCTTGCACAAGTTTGTCCCAGCCCAAGCAAACACTCCTGCAGCCAACGCCCAGGCATGTTTCAGGAGCCAGGGTGGTTCTCAGCAGGTGGATTGGGCACAGCTCTCCTGCTCTAGGGGACAGGAGCTTGTCTCTCCTGGGGATGATGGCTGGGCATGCCAATGGGTCTTGAGAGTGAAAAACACTCCCTGGCCTGTTTTTATAATTTTATGTGTCTGTAAGGCTTGGTGTCTCAGCAGTGCACAGCTTTTAATGGATTGACTCACCCCAGCATCCCTGTGGAGCAGGGAAGTACTGTTAAACCCCTGGGTCTGAGGGCAGAAGCAGACTCATGGAAACACTAAAAGTGGTACATGGCTGCAGAGAAGCCTTCAAGTCCCACAGCCCTCTTGTTTCTTAAGCTCCTGCCCCAGCTTCTGGGCTTAAAGCTGGTGAGG